GAAATGTTTCTGGTCTTTATTTAGAAATTTGGTGATGTTTTCGTGACCAGAAATATGCCATAGGGACTTAACTCTTGTTTATAGCAACTAGCCTATGGTAAAATTGGTTTTATTATATTTCGCTTTGTTTGAAGTCACAGTTTCCAAAAACCTATGAATGACCTTAAGACTTACTGTATTTCACTCTTAAGCAACAACAATAACAAAGTAACAAAACTTAAAAGTACTACTACTCAAGGCAAGAAATATAGCTGACCACTGAACAACATGGGTTTGAACTGTGTAGGTCCACCTATATGTGGGTTTTTTCAATTGACTTCACAGCTCAAACCTGCATTGATCAAGAGTCAACTCCATGGCTGGGAATCTGAGTATAATCTGAGTATGCGGAGGGCCGACTGTAGGTATACTCAAATTTTGGACTGCTCGGGCAGTCAGTGCCCCTAACTCCCATGCCTTTCAAGGGTCAATTGCATTTTTGTTTCAACTTCAATGTTTCATATAAAAATTGTAATTAAATACTAAAATAGACCACCAATGATAAACTGGCTCATTTTAATTTCCACCTAGTAGGGATCATCTATTATTTAAACCAATATTTATTATAATTTAAGTCATTTATTAAATTAAGCACAAGTTAAAAGATATTTACTGTTTTTAAGCCATTAAATTTTTAGCTTAATGAAGCTAAAGCAATGTTAATTCCCTAAAGAAGTATTTTAATGCTTTTACTTTTTTAAAAAAATGAGGATAAACGTTTATAAAAATCTATTTATAAAAAATAAACATTAAAAATTGCGGAAGTAGCATAAGAAAAGCAAAATAAATTCACAAGTATCAGGAGTCTCAAACAGATCTAGTATCAAAAAAAACCCATGCCCAGCACAGTGCCTGGCAGAATAGGGGCTTTGTAAAAACTGCTCAGTGAATGAACCTGGCTGTACCCTTAGTCACTATTAGATGAGTAATCTTGCTCAATTCATAACTTCTTTATGCTTGCTACTTCTGTAAAGTCAGGATGATAATACCTGCCTCATCAATTTCTTCATGTACTCTGAGGATCCAACAAGATTGTATGTTTCAGGTCTTTGATATTTAGGGATGCAACTATTAACAATTTTACTATTATAAGCAGTCTAAGGGTCAAGTAATAATTTAGATGTGTACTGAAAGCACACCAAGGCTGGGGCTAGTGACATCCATATGAAGGACTACAGATGCTGGGCAAATTATGAGGCTCAAACCATCATGACCTTACTCATCCTAAAGGCAAATGAAAAGTATTTTAAAGTTCTGTATATACTGAATCATGAAGTGTCTTAAAAGATCGCTTAAATGTATCCCTCAATAATTTTAGGAATCTGTTTTGATTCCCAGACTTAGATTTCACAAAGCAGTAAAATTTCAAAACAATGTTGGGACATATTACAAGGGTATAAACACTTTATTTTACCATGTAAAATTTAAAACAAACCTAACTACTATCTGTTAGCATCATAATCATATTTTTTAAAAAGGGCATCTTAACATTGAAAACTATAAGAAGGCTGTATAGATTAATAACAACAAAGGACATTAAGTTTTACTTCTGAAAAGCATCTCTGATAAGGCAAATCAGACTATCAACCATATCTGTATTACTTATTCTGAAGCACCTCTAAGATCCCCTGTTTCACACTCTGAAGAAGAAAACACATTGTTTGAAGGACACAGTCCTGTTATTTAACAATTTCTGCCAAGAGGTTAAGATTTCAACAAGTCTTGAAAATACATTTAGTAGGATAAAATACACTTCAGTATGATATGAAAGGTCTATAAATCTTGACTAGATAGAAGAGTACATCAGCAAGAGAACATGTCATCTTCTGTTCAGAGATCATGGATAATTTATCATCTTGCTTGGCCTTACTTTAAGAGACCAAGAATAATGAGAATGCTTCAGCCTCAGGAAGGGAAGTTACTTTCTATTTGGCACACAACTGCATTTAATAAAGGTGACCTGCTTGAGAATATTGATTGCTTGTGGCAGATCACAAAATTATTCAAACTCTAGCAATAATTTGAAGAGTCTCTAAAAGCCACCCCCTCCCCCCCTTTTTTTTTCTGATGGATACCAGAAAACAGACCAGTTCCTTACCTTATTGAAATGTATGGGTTAACAAATTAAGGAGGCTACATCTCCAGGGTCTGATCCTGGTGTTCAACACTAGACAATCTTAGAACTTTTATGCTAGTTTCTTCCTGGGATCTGTGCAAAAACCATGCGTTAGGCAATAAATTACACTGCTATTTTGGGGCCTGAATTTAAATTTATGAATATCTTTTTTTCTCTCTTAGAAATAGAGGTAACTTTGTAAAAAAGCATTAAGTTTTTAAATAGCCTAAATAGTGAGCTACATTTTACTGAAGGCTTCTGTCATCAGAATACATCCTCAAGTGTTCTCTCTGCCAAGTTATCATGAAGCAGCATGTCTTCCTCCAACAAGACAAGACAAATATTTCAGCTTCAGGATCTGCAGAGCTAGGCAGAATGTAAAATCCCAACGGCCAAAAGGAAGCCACCACAAGATAATTATAATAAGCTTTGTTTGGGTAGCTCAACTTTGGTCTTAAAAGAGTCAGATTGACTCTATCTCCCTATACACTTTGGTACCCTTCTATCTTACAATTCTTCTCCATCTCTGTCATACCTTCTACCTGCATTACTGACCCAAGTTAACCTATGAGTGTTTTAAGGAAAGAATCAACAGAGCCACATGAAGTTAACCTGGCAGATATGAACTCTGACATAAATGCTATTATATCACACGTGAAATGCCTTTCATATGACTTTAGAAAAAATAAAATGGTAAAATTAAAAAAAAATGTGTGTGCACGGAAAGAGATCACTCTTGCAATCTAACTCTTAGGATTTCTAAAGGTATTTAACTATTTCTTAACAATTATGTTCACCTAAAGAGAAGTGAGAAAACAAAGGCCTCTGGTAACTGACATCTAGCTTCTCTTTTGCACAGTAGTTTGTGAAGTGCAAACCAGTTTAATTCACTAGCTTGTTTTCTTTTTTCAGCTGTGGGGATACGCTGCAAAGAGTGGAAGTGGTACAAAGAATTTCAGGCGTATGTCTAAATTGCTCTTAGCACTTTCAGTTTAAACATGTCTAGCAAATATTCCAGTTAACTCATTATGTCCTGCTTGTAAAATCATAACATGGCACATGTGATAGTGTCAGGATTTTCACCTTTTTAAAAAGCAAACCAAAAATGATCGAAAATGCAAAATTACACAGCAAAGTGCATATCCGCCATTTTTATAATTTAAAATATCAGTGATTGAGGTTATTTAGATTATTAACAATTATTTCTTATATTCAACATGTCAAAGCTCAAATTGTATATTTTAATATGTATTTTATATGTTTAAAATATATTTTATATACTTATCCTCAAATCATATATTCTTTTAAAAGGGATGCTCTCATCTCTGTCTTTCAAGCAAAACTGAGCTCCTTTCCAAACACTGGGGGTTGGAGGAAGGGATTCAGGCAGATGTATCCCAAACTCACCCTCCCAGCAGGATCAAAGTAGCCTTCGGCCAGGGATTTGTTATAATCGGCATAAGGATTCGGGAAGGCCCTTTGAGCCATGACGCCGGAAGCGAGCCTGCAGAACAGGGGAAAAAGAGAACCTAGCTTGAGACAGGGACCTCGGCGGAGCTGCGCGGGCGGCGGCCGGAGCCCGGGCCACGCTTTGCTTCCTGCTCCCGGGCCACAGCACGGTCTCGGCGGTCCGAGAGGATGCCGGGCCCACTGCGGACCGGCCGTTAGGGCGTGGCACCTCCGCGAAAAGGATGCCAGGGCCCTGAGCTCACCGCGATGTTGGGGACCCGTTTTGCACCACACGTTCCCCCTACCGCGATTTCAAGCAACTGCCCGTGCTGCGTCCAAAAGCCTTGCCCCGCCTCGGCCTCTCACCTCGCAGCCTCCGGACAATAACAGAAGGGACGCTTTCACCGCCCACTTCCTGCCAGTTGGACCAATCAGAACCTTCCCCACTCCAGAGGCCCGCCCCCTTCTTTTTTTCAGTTTGTTAAGGAGACAAGCAAGGAGTGTGATTAGAAAGAAAGATAATACAGGGTGATTTAATTCCTGGGTAGCTGGAGTGGAAATATGTCTTAAAATAACATGCAGATGTGCTCAATATTTCCTACTTTGTTCTCTTTAATTTTTTTTATTAGAAAATTAATTGAAGTCCAGATACTTGATAACAATCAGAAATTTTTTATCTGGAGAGGAAAAACGCTGATTTGAGAAATGAACGTATTTGTAT